CCTGCCTGCAGGCTCACGGAGCTGCATCAGCCAGCTAAGCGCGCTGTGATCTGTTTGCACCACAAATTTTGTCCCATCAAGGTAGACATCAAACTTCCGCAGTGAAAACACGATGGCGAGACACTCCCTCTCGGTCACGGAATAATTCCTTTCTGCGGGTATCAATGAGCGGCTGGCAAAGGCCAGCGGCTGCAACACACCATCGTATTCCTGTAGGAGAACTGCTCCTAATCCCAGATCGCTTGCGTCAGTCTGGACAACAAACGGTCTGGTCAGGTCGGGGAGCTTGAGCTGCGCCGTCTCCACAATAGCGCTAGAGAGACGGCAAAACGCCTCTTGCTGCTCAGGTCCCCATTGCCACTCATCTGACTTACCCAAGAGCTTGGTCAAGGGCGCCTGCACTCGGGCACAGGACGGAATGAACGACCGGTAAAAATTGGCCATTCCGAGAAAGCGGTGCAGGCCGCGTATGTGCTTGGGCGCGGGGAAATCGAGGATTGCTCGAAGTTTCTCCCGATCAGGCTCAACGGAGCCTTCGCCCAGCGTGAAGCCAAGTAACTGAACTCGGGTTTGCGCTAGTTGGGCCTTTGCGGGATTTAACGTCATCCCGGCGGCTCTCACCCTCTCGAGCACATCGGCAATGTGGGCCAAGTGTTCTTCGAAGGTTCGTGAATAAATCACGATGTCGTCGAGGTAGCACATGCAGTAAGACCACTTTGCTTCTCCGAGGACGCGGTCCATGAGTCTCTGAAAAGTCGCAGGAGCATTGCAAAGACCAAAGGGCGTACGAGTGAATTCAAATAACCCTCTGTGGGACGTGAACGCGGTCTTGCACCGGTCACGCTCATCCATCCGGACCTGTAGGTAACCTTTGGAGGCATCTAATGTGGTAAAATACCGCGCAGTGCCGAGGTTTCCTACGATGGAGCTAATCGTGGGGAGCGGATAGGCATCCTTACGAGTCACTCCGTTCAGACGGCGGTAGTCTACGCACAGGCGATGACTGCCATCTTTCTTAGGCACGAACTTAATTGGAGACGCCCAGGCGCTGGACGAACGGCGAACAATGCCAGCTGAAAGCATCTCGTCCAGCAAGCCGTCAATTACCTGCCTTTTGGCCTGGCTGACGGGCCTGGGGTTGCACTTCAAAGGAAGCGCGTCGCCAGTTTCGATCGAATGGCTCACCAAATCGGTACAGCCGGGTTGATCGGTGAAGAGCTCATCGTATTCGCGTAACAATGCCGACAGACGAGCCTTCTGTGTATCATTCAATTGAGTCGCACAGGCGATCAAAGGATGCGGAGCCTCTTCGTGTCGTGCCGCTCGATCCCGATGGGGATTTTGAGCCGACGAGTGCATAGCGCAGGGGCCTGCCCCCGAAGTTTGCACGTGACACGGTTTCGACGCTTCAACTGCACAGGCAACAGAAAGCGCCGGTGGGCTGATGAACGGCTTTAGCTCGGAAAAAGGTCCGTCGCGATAGCCTCCATTCGCAATGTCCACTACGATACCGGTTTTTCGGAGAAAGTCCCGGCCGAGAATCACAGGAACACTGAGCCCTGGAAGATGAACGAAATGCGCGCGTCTCATTCGGCCTCCCCATCTGACAGTCAACCTCGCGGCGCCCGCCGACTGGGCCACGCCTTTCGCGAGGGTGAATGTCGTTCGGCTGTCCCGCAAGCGCACCGAGCGCTTCTGCAAGTGGGACAACACCTCTTCGCCAAACAACGAAGCGCTTGCGCCCGTGTCCAGCAACGCCAGGAATTTGCGACCGACAATGGTGACCAAAATAAACGGCACGTGCGCACCAGACAGACTGCTTGCCCGATACGCAGAGGGGAGAAGCAAGGGTTCGGCCGCTCGTGCTTTCACGAACGGCCCACGCTCCCGTTTCGCTGCCTCACAGGAGGCACAAACGCGGAGCACTCCCTCGCTATGTGCCCTCGTTGATGGCAGCGGAAGCAGCGCACTCCATCGCGGTCCCTTTCCCGAGACGGAGCAGCTTCGAGCTGCCGGGGTCGGTTCGCCGCGTGATCAAAGGAACCGCTCTGACGACCGTTCCAGCGATGATGCGCTGGGTCGGATTTCGTCCCTGCTCGCGCACGTCGAGTTGCGATGCAGCACCGGCTGCACGCCTCCCGTACATGTAGGGATCTAAAGCTCGATCACTTATCTCCCACGTGCGCCCACCTGTAGCGGTAGCCGCAAAGGCAGCTCTGGCGGGTTGTTGCCGCTGAGGAAGGGCCATGGCCCCTCCCCACGCGCAGCGCGGTACGACGGCCTCGCTGGCTGGCGGTGGCGGGCGACAGGAACGCGCGGCGAGAATGTCGCCTTGGATGCGCTTTGCTTCGACGGCCAATTCCTCCAAATCACGGAAGCGACTGCCGCGCAGGTATGCCGAAAGGGTCGGGTGTGCCTGCCTAATCACCCGTTCGACGCGCTCCTCGTTCGAGGCTCTGGGCTCAGCGATAGAAAAAAGGTCTTCCATAGCGCGTACGTACTCCTGAAGCGACTCATCAGGAGCTTGTGTGCGGAGCTCGAGCTCGCGCCGCATCCTACTCTCGTAGTCAGCGGGTAAGAATTCGCGCAGGAAGGCCGCGTGGAAGTCATCGAGGGTTGCTACTCCGTGGCCGGAAAGCCGATGCCACCTGGCCGCCGTGTCAGCCAGTGCAGCCGGGACGACGCGTCCGAGCACTTCCTGGTCGTCTAGACCCATGGCTCTCTGATAACGTGTGAGGGAGTCCAGGTAATCTCTTGCACTTTGCAGATCACCATACCCACTGTAGGTCGGAACGGCCAACATGACAGCGGGATGAGGGCGTTTCGAAACAGCCGAAAGCGTTTGGACTGCCCCCGTGAGTGCCTGAATCATTTGGGCGGCATTTTGCAGCAGCGTCTGTGCACCCGCTTCAAAGGAAGCTGTTGGTGCATTAGCGGCACGGGCGAGCGATGGGGAACTGTCTCCCAGCTCGATAAGCGGCGCGGTTTCAAAATGAATACCGGCCGTCGCGACTTTGGGGAGCGCCTGTTTTTCACAGCCGACTCTTGGGGCAGCTTCACATGAAAATGCTAGGCCGCTTGCGGCTAGCGGTGCAGGCGCGTGCTCGAAATGAGCTTGGCTGCTAGGTTGCGTAGCAGCCAGCGGGCAAAATTCGGCAACCGCTGAGGCCGCGGTGCCGATCTACGCCCCTGAAGCTCCACTGAGAGCCGTTTCGGAGCGCTGTGACATGGAACTGCCATGCATTCCAAAGGGAGCAGTAGTAGTCCAATTTGCCCTTGTGCACTGTTCGGGTTGGGCTATGGCCCCAGACCCAAAACACGCTACCTCTCCAGTGGGAGCTGATACGTAGCGCCTCGTGTCATCCCGACTGGGGCTTGTGACAAGTGAGGGTGCGTGATTGTGATGCTCAAGGGGGGCACTGGCCCTGTTCTCGAGCAATGCGGTATCTGCTAAAAGCGTCAGCGGACAGAACTCACGCGGAGCAGACATAACGCGGGTAAACGCGGCGAGCCTGATTCGCAAAGGCGGGCTGACTCGGCTAAGACTAATCAAAGGCTTAATGAGCCTTTGATACTGCGTTGGGCGCCAGTATGGTGACCCCGCTACTAACTGCAGCGGACGATCACTGCTGGTTCACGCTTAGCGAGCAACAGGGCCGCTACTCCGTTTACTCGCGTGTAGCGCACCGCTCCGCGCGCGCTCAACTATAAGGCGTTTAGCGCGGCACGGCAAATAGACAGTGTTCTAATGCAAAAATACACAACACTTTATTGCCTCTGGCGGCACCCCGAACAACAGTACAACGTCCGCTCCCGGGACGCGGGTAGCAAAGGCACCCGCACGCGGACGTTCACAATAAGGGGAAAACCGCGAGCACGTCGCAGCTGGCAATGGCGAGCTTTGACACGCCGGTCGGGAAAAGGTCCCTCGCGGCTATGCTGCACACTTTCACGATGGCCAATGGGCTTGGTCGCGAGCGTTACGGCTAACCTCGTACGCGTAGGTCTACGGCAAGTGCGGCTCGTTGTGGTACGACCACTTCAAGCACTAGGCACCGCTGTGGGCTTACCGTACGCTACCGAAGCTAGCACTCGAGTAAACACGCCTGCCGAGGTGCCCAAGGCCACCCCAGGCAGGCTACAGTCCGGCGATTCCCAAAGGGGACGCGGACGAAGGAAAACACGTGCTTACCCGGCGCCGACGACGGAGAAAAGAGCGCTCCCTCGGCGCACGCGTACCGCCTGCCGTGCCCGCAGGTGGCGTTATCTATCGCCAAGCATCGTTATCAGAGCAGGAAAAGCAAAAGGGTGTGGCCGTGCGGCGGAATGCCCGCGAAATGGTCGCAGGCCCGCCTCAGATCCCCACAAACCTAACCTAACCTAACCCACCATTTTTGATTGTATCTGCCATCTCTTTCATTTCAGATCTTTCCACAATTCAAACGAGTCCCAATGCAGAAGCAAAGTTTTTTTAAATGAATTTACGTAAGGAGTTTCTCGCAATAACTTAGAGAATGCACTGCCACTGCGATGCTGTACTATGCATAGAAATCCTAGAAAGCATTAAATTTAGACTGTCATAGTTCACGAAAAAGCATGATCAGTGTCTGGCTGGCAGCGTTCCTTGGGTCACAATGACTCATTTTGTATTGAAGCAGCATTTAAGCTGCTTCAGTACAACACAAGCGAACGAGATTCGTTTATGAGTTTTAGTCTTGGGAAAGCTGGATTTGCACAGCTGAATCTACATTTTAGGCTATGCTTTGTTCAACGCCAGCCAACACAAGCCCTCCCCACTTTGCCATTTAGGCACAGCATGCCAAACTCGCATAACGCATAAATGGTGGTGGTACATTTTCATCTGGGCATTACTGCGAGAAACTCGAAGGGTTTTAAGAGTGAACCCCGCCTTTTCAAACCCTCATTTTATGCTACAGTCAATGCGGCCTCCTGAATTGACCAAAATATCTAAACGAGAGCAGCGACAACTCCACACTCACCGCAAGATACACATGAGGTTGTCCTTCATTAGGTCGCTCCGCAAGCTGGGCACCTCAGCAATGTTGTTCTGAAAGAATAAAAAAAAATTCACTCAATCAAAGAAAGTTTGTACAGAAATTTTATTTTAGCTGCCAACTTTTAAAGTGACTAAAGTGAGTAGATGAAACGCGCTATTTCTTTACATTTCATGTTTTACGTTTCATGCCACTTATCCAATGTGAAATTAACAGAAGAATATCTGAATCCATAAATGTCATGTTGAGAGAATGCTGTGGACCTATGGCGGCTGAATCAGGGAATCATCACTTAACAGGGCACGCCACCATCTTCCACTATAATCGGGGACAACTTTCTGTGGCAATGAAGAAAAGCTGTGTGGGCGGAGCTACTACTCCTGTACTCCTCCGCGAAGCAGTCCGGTTCGACTCGCGTTTGGAATGACAGCCATGTTCAAGTAATTCCACTGCACACAATTTGATACGTCTGCTTACACAGCCATTTGAGAGTGAAGTTCGACACAAGCTCCTTCGGCGAGTCGTCGGATTAGCAAAAAGGCATCGCGCGCTCACCTAAAGACCAAGACGCCATTTCGACTGTGAGGTGTACGTAAAACGTGCGACGTTTTGAGACGCCCAAAAAACGCGAAATGACTCTTCAGAAAGCAACAACAAATAATGATATCTCCTCGGTGCGTGCAGCGTCCTTTTATAAACGGCATCTAGTTGAAAATAATGTTGCTCTTTTTTACTATTTTCACGCGGCAAACACAAACGCATTTGTGGCACTATTTTTAACAGCGGTGGCACATGCCCACTTTGGCTCCGCAGCCTTCCCTTCATTGCCATAGAAAGTTGTCCCAAGTATAACATCTATTGTTCAACCCTCTGCTAACCACTTGAGACGCACATATTTTACTTTAAACATTTATCCTCTATAAAGAAGTCATGGTCACAGAGGGCATATTCAGTAGCCACACACAGTATAAACTCAATAAACCGACACCCAAGCTCTATTTACTGTGTAAAAGGTGCATTTGATGACAGTGGCCAAATGACAAAACCATCCAAATTAGATGCAGTCATTACGTTTAAACAGTATAATTCAATGAAAAAATAAAGTGGTGTTGCCAATGTACCGATCCCATGTGACAAAACCAATTTCAAAGATGTGCTTGGAATCAACAGCACGTAATTTGACCATTTTACCCCTGCTACCTCCAGCTGGCACAAGTGGTTTCCTAACCAGCCTCTACTGCTGGATTGTAAAAAAAAATAGTTGCGGCAGCAGTGAAATTTCAATATGTCGAAATTGTGAACTAGCACATTTTGTAACTTTAATTATACAGTGTTCCATGAATGAGAAGCAATAAAATGATAAATACTTTGTTACTTAGAGAACTTTTTTATACTGGAGCTTTCTATACACAGGTTTAACTGTGACTGCTATTACAGTTGTATCAAGCACAGAAAGATAATCCGCTTACATTTTCCTACAATCAGTTCTACCTTAAGTGCAACGTAAAAAAAGTTCGTGGTGCTGACACAGCAGTTGTAATGATGGTCTAGGCCTGGCCATTTCATGCAAAAAATGGCAAAACGTGTCACAATTCTTTAAAGAGAGCCTTGTCGCGTGACTTACCACAAGACCAAGGACCTTGGTTTCTACGGCACTTTCCCCAAGGAACAGCTGCGTAAAGAAGGAGGGGTCGCACTCAATGCCAACGTAATCATCAAGCACATACATACTGTACTTACAGTAGTAGTACAGCGATGACTCATCAAAATCAAATTGTAATTCTGCCCACGAATCACCAAAGATAAGCCCAGGCAGGTAACTATGTCAGAACAGGCATGACCCCACCCTTTTACGCAAGCCTGATAGGATTTCGATGTCATGCCCATTTGTGAATGTATTCTATTCCAAACCTGTATTCTATTCTTCAACCTCGATATGCCAAATCCGTATGTAAAAATATATGAGTTACAACAAAGTAAATAATACTCCTGCAACAGACCATGTTGGGAATATACCTTTACAACAAATGTTCGAGTACTATAACAAACTTACTTTCGTATAAGATGCCGCAAGTTTGTTATAATTAGGTTTGAGTGTAGTTACAGCCTTTTTATATATTCAAGTTTGCAGTAAGCATCTAATCGGAAGTGTTTAAAATACATACAGCCCGTTCAAAACATCACCCCTTCTGCCATCGCAACAACTGCATACGGCATGCCTGAACAGCTTGTTTAATGGAGTGCTAGCTCCATAATCATTAAAAAGTTCCTCTTGTAACAACTTCGGCTCGAGCGTAGCGCAGCAAGTGCTGGTTCAGATATCGTTTTTACATTCATTCTCGTACAGCTTGTTCAACTGTCAAGTCAACTCAAGCGTGTGACAGATGCCAGTGCAGCATCGCTCACCTCAAGAACATTAAGGAAAAGCTCCATGCCTCCCTTGGACAAGAACACCGAGCATGTCTTGGGCGACTCATCTGCACAGTCGAGACAAGAAGATCAATCGCCAAAACGAGATTCTCTAGTTGAATATCACTGAAAAGTGGGGACGGGAGAATAGCAAATTTTAGGCTTCGTCGAATATTTCAAACTGTTCAAATACATATATCACATGGTTCAAATAGTCTGAGCAGTATTAATTGCATATTATAAAGAGAAATGAGCATTTTTGTCAGAATTTAACTGCCTTACATAGTATTTAAAATAATTGCGAGCTTGACTAAGCTGGGAAGCTTAGTAAAAGCTCACAAAAGCTTTTTTTTCTTTTCGAGCCTTCTACTTCCTGAAATTGTAAAATAAGTTAATTGATTGATTGGTCAGTTGATCGATTGATTGATTGATTTGAAAATACGCGAGTGCGATCCCCCCATTTTGATTCGAAAAGAAGGAGCAGCAACACTGAATAGCAGTAAGGCTTGAAGAGCAGTTGATTGCAAGTCATGAGAGGTAAATATATTCCACAAGTGGTGAGTGGTAAATATTGTCCAGTCACATTATCGTGACCACCACGCACTTTTGACGTCAATGTTAAATAACCAATCACAGAAGGCAGGTGGCATAGCAATGCAGTGGAGCGCATGTAAAGAGTGTGTGAGAGATTTGGGAAACACTGCAATTGCTGGTGTAATTCGGAAACGGAGCGTTCTATTAGACATCCAACAGGGGCATTATCATTGCCTTTCGGGCCAAGGGTGGCATCATCTCCGAAATGGCCAAGTCTGACCTATTCGCATGCCGCCGCGATAAAAGCGTACTGTGCCTGGCAAAATAGGGCTTTTCAGCGACGTGGCAAATGTGGCGCACCATGGATCACAGATGACATAGGTCAACGACAGCTGCGGAGATGCGTTCGGGTGAACAGACATGCCATTGTTGATCAACTGACCGCCCATATGAACTAAGGCGATACCAGCAGTGTCTTCCAAACTATTCAGAAAATTTTGCTCGATTTTGCACACCACTATCGCAACTGGATGTCCACTGAGTGGTGACAGATGTCATTTTCCAATGAATAATGTTTTATGCTCCATCAGACAGATGAATGTTGGCTCATACGGCATGAACTGTATACATCATGTTTTAAAATTTACTTAATTCATGAACACCCATATACCACAGTTTCCAACTTCAGAAGTTGTTTAGAAGAAGGCACATAATATGCGCATAACATGCACAGTCTTGTATGTCGCCTCATGACAATACAGATTTGCCCTCGAGAAATGGCTTCATAACAATGCACTTCCACATTGCAGTGAATTTACCTTTACAGGGGCGTTATGTATGTTTGTTTATTTTTAAATACTTCAAAGTTTTTATTAAGGGGGGACATGGGTCTTTAAAATTTTTTTTCTGTTTTTGGCTCAATCTTGACCAAACCTCAGCGTCTTGGACAGTTTTTCATGCTGATTTCAAATATGTAATTGTTTCTGAAATAGCTTCAGAGGATAAAAAGATATTAACATCTGTAATTTAATTAATTATGCACTTCATTGGGGGCTTTTTGGCAACTTAATCAAGCCAGATCCAAAAAATAAATGCATAGCTCCAATGCTGAGGGCTTTCTGTATGGGGTGATGCTATTTTTATTAATTTTTAGGCATTATATAGATAAGAAAACAGACCAGCACTTACAATAGATATTCTGTTCAATTTTCGCTCATTACTATCCATAATTGTAATTAACAGTATGCTTCTAGAGTAATCAAAATAGCATCACCCCATAGGTAATGCTATTACAAATAAAATGATACCAAGTTTGTCATTCTCAATCAACAGTAACATATAAGAAAAACCCCTAAGGTTTAGTGTAGTGCACAAAAACATTGAACTGAGAAAAACGCATTTAAAGTTTCTAATAACTGTAACTTTTGCTAAAGTGAAGCTAGAGCAATAAAAATGGCACCGTTGTATAGCTCTACATTATGTGAGTATGGCTGTACCAAATGTGTCAATGCACCTTCCCAAAATATTTGCCACAGCTCATTTAAAAACTGTGTACAGGCCGTTGAATCAGTATAAGGAACCCAGTCTACAACTTTGTGGCTGTTCTAGTGCACTGAAAACCAAAGGAAGACACATGTTATATATAAAAACATCGCCCTTTTATACATAAAACACTATTTCAAGTAAAACAGACATTTTTGTCCCAGACATCTTTACAATTCTACAGCATGCCAGGGCTGTATGCAGTGTCTCTTGCAGGCTTATGTCCCTTTGCAAGTGTTGCCTTTGTTGAACGCTCGCTTTCGTTTCCTGCCGAAAGCTTGACGAGTGTTCTTCTTCAGGCGAGCTTCCCAAGCCATGCCGGCGAAATGCAGAAAGACGTATACGTCGGCGACGTCGGTACACGAGCGGGTAGCAGACAAGACAACACGCACGAGAGCAGGCGCCGACGAAGCAAAACCAAAAAAAAAAAAAAAAAAAGAGCGAGCAACCGTGGCCGCGCCGCCGCGCCAGCCAATGGTAAGCGCAAGACGGGGGGGCTCACCGGCGCGTGCGCGCTCTAGCCAATCAGCGGTCCGGCAGACGGCTTCGCAAAACGGGGGAGGGCAGTCGTTGTGTTGGAGCTACGCCATTTTGAGAGCCCGCAAAATGCGCACAAAGGAACCAGCTTCAAAACAAGCCCAAGATGGCGCCGATCCGCCGGCTGCTTCGCTGGCGGCGCGCGCGGGAAGTTCGAACAAATTTTCTGTTTTGCAGGTTGTTTTGCAGCTCCCGTGATGGTTTGAAAATAGATTTTAACCTATTTTTTTATCGAATTTAGCGTTAATAATTTGAGGAGAGGCGCTTATAGGTTCAAAGATTCGAAAAATGCATTTTTTCTCAAAATCGATTTTTTGGCCATTTTTTACTTTTCTAAGACCCGCGTCCCCCCTTAGCTTAAATTCAGGTCGAGGTGAATTCAAATACTATAATATTTCTTTCGATATTCTAAATGCTCAAATATACACCCATCCTTATGAAGAAGTGAGACCTTCCTTATTTTTATCATACTTGTCTCTGTCGCACTTGAAACGAAATCCGGCATTAATGTACACTACAGTCCACTGTAAAAGGAAACACTCGAATGAGAACCTTTCATGTAGGTGGTGCCCTAATGGCAAGTCATCGTGAAAAGACTGATTGTGCACGGCACTAGTCTGTAAGAAGGAGTCATGACTGTCAACCACCAGCTGTCTAATGCACATCTAAGCGACTATGCTTTTGCGGGAGAGGCAACTTTGAACATGCTCTACATGCAAGTGTTCCGTTTAACAGTGAACCCGACGGCACATTCTTGACAACACAAGCAGGGGCATGCTGATTTGTAATCACGGAGAAACAGTTTAGGAAAGAGATAACAACTATCCTACACTGACAAACCTGACAAAGACGAAGGGAAGAACACCATAAGATAACATTAATCTCACCACAATTTTCGTTGCATCTAGAAAATAAAAAACAATAAAGACGTGACAAAACAATCTATGTTCTACCCTGTTTCAGATGCTATCAAAATCTAACATGCACTGCCAGCACAACCGAGAAGCTGTTCTACTTTTTGTATGTGTGTGTTCCCACCGTTAACACTACGATCATTTCTTTCAATATGTATTGGCCAGCACAAGAACATGAACAGGGCTCATAGATTGAAATAGACTAAAGCAAAGTAATTTGGGTAATTTTCGTTCCACCATCTTCAGTTTATGTCATGTCGACAAAATTTTGACTCAAACAGCGGCATCGTAATAACTATTTGGGTTTAACATCCCAAAACCACAATATGAGTATGAGGGGCACTCTATTAGAAGGCTCCGGAAATTTCAGCATCTTCAGATTCTTTAATACGTAACTAAATCTAAGTACATGGGCCTCGAGCATTTCCACGTCCATCGAAAAAGCGACCGCCGTGGCCGAGCTTTGACCTCCCAACCTCGAACACTTGCACAAGAGCCTTAGAGTCCAGATTTACAGCGACGTGACACAGTTATCTCAAGCTACCAAGTGTGCAGGTTTCTATAGTAAATGTTGGTCCGTATTCAATCTGCCACCACTGAACATTGTTGCGCAACCTCATAATTGCGTTCCCGTTTCTAACAGACGTCAGAGGACATCACTCAGTGCAACAAGAATAGGACAGCGATTCCTTTCGTTGCAATCCTCACCCGTCAGATTCCAGAGGGCACTGAGCGTAAACTTCATCATGATGTCCACCTCGCCAGCATACAGTTTGCTCTTGACAATGCGCAGCAAGCGTTCCATGTACTCTGGCTTGGCACCCAGGGACGATGTCTCCGAAGTTGAGATCTACAGAACGATGGAGAACGTTAGGACCGAAATATTGAGGCGCAAGTTCGCCGCATATCATATAGCCTGCTGACCGTCCTTCACTCGTTCTGGCGCGAAGCTTTGGTGAGCCTACCAACACAATCACAAAGGCTCGGCAGAAAGAACATATTAAGCCTGCCATTCATTCGTCCTCAACTGACAAGACTTTAGAAAAAGCAATAATCTAACTTTTCAACTTCATGTCGCCTCACATCAGTGCACAAAATTTCCTTCGGCCTAGGCCATAGAGCCACATCTTATCAAGACTTATTACACAAAGCGTGAACCAGTTGTGTTAACATAATAGCAGCCCTTGTTACAACCTTTTTGCAGAAACATTCTTTCTGAGCAATTTGGAGCTTGTCAAAACTCAAAAGGGGCCCTGAACCACACTCCTGAAGCACATAAGGAGACAGTCTCAATATTAGCACATGACTCTTCTCAAATCACATGATATGAAAACACAGATTCCTTCACGAATGAGCAGAGTTGCAGAGACTCGTCACATGCTTCAACCACCTTTTCCTCTCCTCATAGCAAGTGTGCGGAAACCTACACAGGCAGGGGAACGACAAGAGGGAAAGAAGATGCGTTTCTTCATCAGCAAATGCCATGACCTCGAGCCCTTCCTGTTCCTGTTCTTTGAATGTATGGCTGCAATTGCAAGCACGCCCGTGGTCACATGGCGGCATCTCGCGGCGGCCCATACTATAACTACACAGCTCACAGTGCTCAAATCAGGGAACAGCAGTTACCCTGGGTATATACTGCAGTAATTGGGTAGATGGTGTAAATTAAAGATATATGAAAGGGAGTGATATTTAGCCAGTTTTGACGATTCATTCCAAATTCCATGCCGCGTAATGTTTGGCTTGTGTGTTTTCGGGAGCCTCGACTATTAAATGGCAAAGTATTTACACTATGCTCAAAAGGTGTTTCTGGGCCACTTTATGCATGTTTGCATCCATACACCAAAACTTATTTGAAGCATGTCCATTGCATGAGAAACACGAATTTACCCAAATTTAATACCCTAAATTCAACATTCTTGCTTGGTATAATTAGAAGTGTAGATATGCAAACAAATCTTCAGATGGAACTTTTTTGGGTCAACTCCTCTTAATGCTATTTGCTATAGAAATGAACAAATTCAGTTAGGTTCATCATGTTCAATTCAGTGAACAACATTCCACAGGTTAGGTGAAACAAGCTTGTCAGCAATGTTAGTGTAGTGCATTCACCTTGGCAGCCAGGATGGAGCAGATGGCCACCGACATCCGGTTCATTGATGGGTCATCAAAGGCCAGCAGAGAGTCCATCACGAGCCGAGCGCAGTGGTACCGATCAAACGTCTGCGTGCCCAGAGGAACAAAGAAAGAATAAATGCAATTGCACTGCATTAGTCTATGCTTTTGCATTGGTTACCCGGTTCAAACAGTTAAAAATATCAGGGTTTCTGACAGCACCATCCATTTCCCCAGGTGGCTTAGCAGGATCAAGTGTTACAATGCCAAGATCAAAGTCATGGGTTCCATTCTAGGCCGTGCAAATGTAAATCTAATGTCACGCACATCAATTTCAGCGTGTAAATGCCACGACACATATGTTCCTGCTTCTAGCCGACAAGGCATAGCCCTATATATTCTTAAGATAACTGAATCATCAATGCATCAGTTCTAAAACAAATGTTATAATAAGGCTCATGCAAATATACAAGCACTTTGATTAATAGTAGTGTTTGAATTCGCTTCAACACAAATTTAAACTATTATAAATTTCGGAATTATCCTGAATTAACGAATAATTGCATATTATTCCACATATTCCCCCTGTGAAGGTGGCTTCAGTGCAGTGGCGTAGTAACTATAGCTGCTTTTTTGCGAAGGTTCAACTTTAAGGTTATGCAAACACACCTTCGCATCGATTCATCATTTTTTAAGTCTACAAGCTTGTTATACAGGCTTACATGCTCCAAGTATAGCAAATTTAAAACATAATGCATTTTACCTGTTATCACTTGAATTTTACCGAAAGCCAAAGCCTGCAACTAGTTCAAAGTAGCTTCCGCTTCACTTTAGACCAAAGAGAATGACAGTTGCACATGCCTTGTTTGATTTTTTAAAAAATGTTGCTCAAGTTTATTGGGCCATGACAAATTTGCTCATTTTCTTTTTCATATCTGATACATGGTAGTCGAACTTGAGCTTAAATTATTCGACCAAATCATTATTTGCCTTGAATTGGCTTCGAACCTTAACTTAACCGTTCGCACACGCCTAGTTTCAGCACAAGTATTTCGGAATGAAATGCTACGTACCACATCCTGAAGGATCCGGTCGCTGCACAGCGTGAGCAGTGTGTTCTTCTGGAGCTGGTGGAGCCAGAAGACAATGTCTTACAAAACATGGCAATATTTCACACTTTGCACTGCTATTCATGCACTGCGGTGGCACCCAATTTTTCCATCATAATCTGTGTTAGGTAAGTTGATCCTTGTGTGTTCACAGACAAGCTGGCAAAATTTTAGCACATTAGGCCACGTGCCTAATTTATAATCGAACATTCTCATAAACAAGCGGGCTGCCCGAGAGGCGGGCTTCACGATGCACTCGGGAGCAGAGACGTAATGAGCGACTAGCTGCGCAAGCCAAGTGCAAACGCGCGCTAATGAATGGCAGCCATCATTATTAGTCTGCCTAAATTCAGAGAGTGGTCTTGACGCGATGCCCCATGTAGGGTAGGACTGCTGGCGCCACACATGCACTCAAGCGCTTTTCCACGGAGATCCGATAGACGTGTATCCCTCTCCAATATCACACATCTGTGATTTCTTCCTTCGTGCTTCTTCTTTGCTGCTCAAAAAAATGTTGCCCATTCCTCGTAGCGCTCTTAAAGTCAGCACATGCAGCAGCGTCGCAGCGACACTTCCGTGGTCAGCTGCGCATGAAATCGAGGTAACTTGGCTTTCTCCAGCTGGGAACTGAAATCTAACAATTTGCAGCGGCTGAAATTCAATAAAAGACTACGGCTCCGCTCCTTAGAGCCCATGACGTCACACGCGCCATGGAAAAACGACAATCGCAGGCAGTGGGCAGAGTTTACGGCCGGCGACTTTTATGGCTTGTTTTGCACTGAAATATTCTCTTATGACGCACTTTTTCATATCTTTATAGGCCTAATACACCCTCTACTTCTAGCCTCTGCTCAAAACCATGAATAGTTGGGTGACCATGTCATGGCCCCTTTAACATTTTGCTGGTGACCGTTTTTCAATGGATTGTCTTCACTGTGAACGAGCGACAACATTACAAGAACACTAGCATGGAAGCAAGTGCACGATAAAATAACCAGGGTGCACAGATTGGAGAGAGCAAATTCTTCATCCTGTACTGTTAAAGTCCCTGAAGAATGATTTGTGATTATTTGTTCGGGGACCTTTGGTACAACAATAAGCCTCACAAGTTTCTCACTTTCTGCAGTCGAGCTATTTCCCAAAACATGGCACATACACGCAGTTGTTATAGTGCAATACAAAGTTACACATATTTTTTATTCTGTTATGTTACTTCTGTGCTCTCGAAGCGTTTTACATTAATCCAGTGCACCATTCAACTTGCCAAAATTGCTATTTCGATTTCCTTTTTTTGATATAATCAGCCTTTCTTTTCAATTTCCCTAACAAGGCAAAAGCCCCTCCCAATTATTTCCAATTTACCTTGTCTTACGCAAGCATATTTTATTTTATGCCGGCAAAATCTTGAACATTTCACCCCTCATCTAACTTTCTGGACCTGGAATGTTATTCCCAACTCTTTCAAATTACTGGTGATCAATTAGGTACTCATTTCATTGCTCTTAACTGACTGCCAGTAATTTGACTTATGCATGACGCAGCATGCTGCAACGTTCTTCCCCTTCGTGTGAACCGAAATATTGGTTATCCCAATTAACAAGAAGCTGCACGAGAGGCATCTACATTTTAAATATTGTTAAATGACATTAGTTTACAGCAAAAATGTCCAGTCCAATAAGATTCTATGTGCAGCACACATGATTCCGCACACTACCAATGTACGCAAACTCCCAAGAATAGCCGAATTTCTGGTGGGACATCGACAAAGCAGTTAACTGGGATTGTGAGATTTGACTTAACGAGTGCCAACCGACTGTGCCAGTTCTCACGGTGAACCGAGTATTGCTTCAACACTGTCTTGCATTAGACAATGCAATGTCGTTGACAAGCTCGTAAAAAAGAATCCCCGTTTTCTTAAAGGCAAGGCAATTAATGCGATAACAAGAAATTGTAATGTTCTGCGAAGTAAGGCTAGCAGTCAACTCTTTCAGTATGGTCTTGCGAAACTTGACATAGTAGCCGCCCCCGATTCAAGGCGGTTTTTGAGCTGTCAGTTCTCCAAACGCCAAATAAGCATTGAGAGCACAGCAAATTTACGAGCAGTCTCTTTCTTAATGCCTCAAGGGACGCAGCCCTTCCCCTACCATCCCTTCATGCTCCTTACAAAAGATGGGCGTGGCGTTTGCTATCTTCTTGAGGAGTGATCGAGGGCAGACCTCACACACGATGATGTTATCACATATGCCCCCTGTGTGAGAAGACGACCGTGCGAGAAGAGAGCCATGTCAATTGCCAGCGCTCGAAAGCATTTACTGGTGCGTAGAACATACAATGCGCGAGGTCATCTTATAAATTAGGACTCTATAGAGAAAATGATGGAGACAGCAAATACTTATTTACAATGTCCATATAATTGCTATAGCCACAAAAAGAGTTCATCAGCAGAACGTAAAACAATACATGCATTACGGTATCGCTATCGCATCCCATACCTGCTGGTTCCGAGGGAAGTTCTCCATGGCTGTGAGGGTGAGGTCAACGATCTGGCGGAGCCACCGCGGGTGCACCTTCTGCCCCAGGGTTCCCTTGGACAGGTTGTACAGGCAGGCCGTGGCTGCCATCTGGATGGCCAGCACCCGCGGGTGCTCCGCCATACCCGGCAAGATCAGCTGAAAGTGCAATGGTTGTGAATGATATGTATATTTGTGTGCTGATTTCAAGTATGCAATTATTATTCCAGCACCATACATTCATTTTTTATTAAATGTTAAGCATTTAATTTCTAAGCTCACTTGCCCAAAAAGCATTGCTTCCTCAACCAGTGACAAGAAGCACTACGTAATATTTGTAGATTGTGTGCTGTGTTGTCTGCAAGTTTTAATTATCATGTAGTAAGTACTCTAGCGGCCAGATTGAATGGTGCCTGAATGCCTCATTACGCAAACACTGCTACAAGATAAAGGAGTCATGAAAGGTTGCTCCTAAAACTACAATGCAAAAACTCTCAAATCCACAAGCACTAGCTAGGTGACGTCAGCATAAGTAGAGTAGACCTGCATGAAGGCACTGCCTGTTGAGGAACGTGGAACTCCACGATACTTGTGAGTGTGCACAAACTAATTATCTATTTGAAATCAGCATAAAAACTTCTATTAAAATTCACAAATTCACAATACTCTTTCACAAATTCCATTGAAGTCATAAAAAAAGTTCCTAAAGTTAAATGCAGAGTTGAAAATATAAGGACAGAGCAGGGAGAAACCCCACAAGCACTAACTTTCAACAATAATTCATTGTAAGCCGAATCACTGAATATAACAATCCATCCGACTTATTGAACATGTTAAACCAAGGCCAACAATGCATCGTAGTGAAAGGAGTGCTCGATTTTCTCCTTATAGTTCACAGTCTTTCCACTTCTGCCAGTGTCTTGCAACACGTTCGTGCCATTTGTATGTTCCTTTACGAAACGACACACATTGCAACATCTGACCTCCTTGAAGAGAACGATAACTTCACCTTGATGACGTCGACCCGTGGCTGTGAGTAGGTCAGTGTGTACTGGTAGAGGTAGTAGAGTGACTTCTGTACATAGTAGGGCCGATCGGGGTACCTCCTAAGGGCCTCCAGGATCTGCCGTTCATCGGCAGCAACCGGTTATCTGTGAAGCAGGAAAAGCACGTACATTAAAGTGACTGCCCCTATGATATTTAACAGCCCAAAAATTTGCTCCTATTTCCACAAGCTATGCTCAATATAAAGTCTTTTGGGAGATACAGATCTCAATTAAAGGCTTCCATGTAGCTTTGCTCTGGAAACCTGTATCTCAAGATGCGACTGTCAATGCAGGTTTCGGCATCACATGAACAACCAGCAGCATGTGCAACAGCATATCATGCGGGCATTGTGTACAATCGATATTGTTAGAAAAAAACACCGGCCAATCTGTTCCCCAAGGCAAGAGGCGCATGTATACAGTATAACCTCATTACAACAAATCTGCTTATAACAGACTTTTCAGACACTACATACCAACTGGCGTCGTTATAGCGACTACCCTATTTGTTCCGTTGATTGAGCTCCGTTTACTACAGATTCTTGTACAACGGACATTCGGATATTATTGATTAAAATGTGAGGACAGCAAGGAGGTCAGGACTCCTTTACAGCGGACTTTTCTACCACAGACAGTCCCAAATTCAATAACTCCTGACTCAGAACATCCGCATACGGGAGGGGAACGGCGCGCAGCGGATATTGATGTACCGATTCAAGAATAGAGGCCACCGATGTGCAGTCTGTTAATGGTCAGTTATGCCTAACTAAGGCAACGAAAAAATCAGCGCGCAGCGTGCTTGGTCTTGTGTTTTGGGCCGTTGATGCTCGAAATTGCTAGCTGCTTGCTCCGAGCGGTCACTGCGTAGCGAAGCTTGGCCGGGGTGTCTGTCACTGATGCCCATCCCCGGTTCCGAGGAGCCAGCAGGTGATATAATTTGTATCCTTCGAACCTTCGAAGAGGCACATTACAGCTTCTTCACTTTCGCATGTCTGCTAACTGCGATGGTCTTGCCCGCAAAGTTCAGAACAAAGTTTGGCCTAGTTGCGACTTTCGGGCGAAAATCTCGGTTGCGATGTGCATGGCAGCGGTGCCCTCCGTTTTAAAGCATGTCATACTCAATTGTGAGTGTAAAGAGTCGTCCAGCGATGGCCTTCATCCCAAGGTACAAGTGGCTGATAATCATCGGGTCCGAAGAGATGCTATTACAGTGGGTCCAAGATGCGCGTCTGTGACTGTTCGCGACGAATTCGGCAGTGCTATTGTAATCTGATAACTGAACTTCCACTTGCAGCTGCCTTAACTACATCTCAACTCGTGAACACAGAACAGAGTGCAAACACATTATTACGTAGCACGATTCCTGACTGTTATGCCGTTCAAGAGCTACAATTTTCTTTAAAATGCCATTGTTTTTTTTCTTTCATGACTTCCGCAATAATTTTCACCACCTCAGAAGGTGCAAAACTTTTTAACAGCACTTCTGCGTAGTTCTCAGTGAAGATATCTTGGAAGCACATTGTAAAGAAAGGAGGGAGGGGGGGCACAGAAACTAAGTGATTTTCAAAAAATAATTTTTCGTATGCCCCCGTTGAGAGTAAATTAGTTTGACTTGTAATTCTCTCTAGTCCTAACAGACACTTTCCATGTTTATGTAAAAGTCTGTTGTAACAGTACTTGGATTTTACATACTCCTTTTACAAAAGACCAAAATCGTCTTCACTGTGTAATGAAATTATACTAGGCTACACTTTTGCTAGCTTTTTGCATCAAAGCAGCTGAAAGCAGCGGCTGTCAGCTACAAAGCCACAAGTGACATCATTATCGCCAACATAACGATGGTGGGAACTCGGTGTTGTCTTTTGCACCTTGAGGACTTGTGTACTTGTTGCCTCATTACTGATAAATCCTCATTCTGGAGTTGAACGTAACTTTAAACCACACTTAGCGATAAAAATTATGATTGGTGCTTGAAGCGATGTCGAGTAAAGCACCGTCATAACCTTTCCTTGCAGGCTAGGTGACAAGTTCAAGTGCGTCATGAGCCCTGACGGTGCTTCAGTGAATTCTGCGACTTATCAGTGTTTCTGGGCACCATCTCGGACACAGAGCGACTTGATTGGTGCAGATGACCATGTAGCTGTATAGCGATTAGTAGCTGTTTCTGACTGCATCGATGCTGAGATGCCGTTCCCAGTGCTGCAGATGTATACCCGTACAATTATGAATATGCCAAAGCTTTCGCTGCCGCCGCTAAACAACCTTTTGCCACGCTACAAAGCTTGCATCGACGTCCTGTGTCAATCAACGCTGTTGTGACTGAAGGAGCTGAATTCGCTGATTTGAAAAGCTTCAATGATATGAGGATAATGGAAAGAAGCAAGACAAGTTCGCGGGCTATTATCATGCGAACGAAAGTGAGGTAATTTGCAATTCACACCTTGTTCTTCATTATACTGTGAGCAAATCATTATGTTGGCACTTGCAACGATTTCTGGGGCCTGAATTACCTTAACTTAGGCCTTAAATGCACATATTTTGTATTTTGAATTATCGATATCTTGAACCATCTTGTGATCCCCTTCCAGTTCGATATATCCGAGATCGACTGTATTTGCACAGCACAAAATTAACGAGGACAGGTGAGAGGACACAACACAGGCACTGTCAATGCTAAATCATTAACTAGTTTAAGCGACCATTCTATAAAAAAATCGGCATACTTCAGATTTAATGCCCTGACATTAAGATTTAGCACCCCTACAACTTTCTTTTGATTCTCAAGTTCAAACCTGTGATTCAAGGACAGTACTTAAGGCTTGTAATAATTTCTAAGAAAGGGACAACTGCCAATGCATTGAACGCAAGAGGTGTCACTAGAAACGAAAGAGGTCAAACTAGGGTGTCATGTCTAATTTGTAAGTGACACCACATGTGAAGCAAAATATTAGCCTGATCAGCGAAGTGAATCAATGTCAAGCTTACTGCACTAGCTTTTCGAACAGACTTTGCACTTGCAACACTTCTACGCTCGCCAATACCTTTCAAGCAAGCAGTACCTTCCTCAAAAAGTGGAGTGCTTGCTTTGGCGTTACAGCTCACGTCCTTATGCCTTAAGGGGGTAGACTGGTCTTTGGGACCAAAAAGTGACACAAAATTCATTTTTTAAAATTGACATATTGACACAAGGTAGGCTGGCAACTATAGTAGCCAGCTTCTGAGAAGGACAACGAAGTAGTTCGGTGGGCGCGTGCTCTGGTGTTCGCGCTTTTGGGTCTTTGGTTACGAAAGTAAATGCCCCATTTTGTGCCTGCATACATGTGTCTCTGACAATATTCGGTTTCTGCAAGTATTTTTCCATTTCTCTGCAAATTTTCACACACCAGCGAATGGTAATTTTTTTGCAATGTCATTCTAACTGTCCAGATTCTTGGTGCTGTTAACATGCAGAATCTGCAAAAAATGGGAAACCAACTTCGAGGCTTCTTTTTAATTTGTCCGCACCTGTGTTAGAAGCTCTACTACGACTTTATGAGCACCTTTATGGGGATTGCAATACATGCACACCATAGCAATTCTTGCTTTTCGAAGAAGCTGAGTGTTTTCGTTTTTTTCCAATTTTCTCAAGAACGTAGATTTATGACTGTTCACTTTTGAAGCCTCAATATCTTTGCAGCTAGGACAGGTACAATGAAAATTCTTTTTGCAATGGAAACCTGTACGTGTCTAGAATGCAAGTATGGGAGCAGAATTTAGAGCACAAGCCTTTTTAATTAATTACTCATCAAAATTGTAATACAATTTTAACTGCTTTTGAAAAAGACTAGTTCATTTTGCTGTAAAATTACCAAGAAAGGCCTAAAAACAAAAAAACTTTTGCATAATTTCAATCAACAGTCATTATTCTATGTTGGCATACCTTAAATATCACTTTTAATTAAGCACTTTTTTTCTATGGTGGACTTAAACAATAGGGGGTGAACTTAAGTTATCTCGGGAACAAGATGAATAATAGGAAATCTAATTAAATATTTAAAATGAGCAGAAAAAACTGCATAATCCTGTGCAGTTTTATCAAGATCACTGAAGAAATTAACAAAACAATGTCTAAGAACAGTCTGCCCCCTTAAGAAGCTTCCAAGCTTTAGCAGTTCAGCAAAGTCAGCTCGCGAGCTGTAATCAGGGCAGCGTACACTCACCACAAGGTCAGAGTTTGCAGGGAGTTCTCGAGTGAAGAAGTCGTCGAAGCACGCATCCGTCTGCACCAGGCCCAGGAAGGTCATCTTTGGGTGGGCCTCCAAGAAGCTCCTGCACCCGAATACAAACAGAGGTTTGAGACAAGAAGCTGTACACTCGCTGCTAGTGTGAAAAAGAACAATTCACCCGCATTTGACAAATGATTGATGTCGACATGCAGAGCTGCAGAAACACAAGTGCGAACTTTCAACTGAAATTATTGGGTGCAAAAGTGATGCTTTTATGGTATCTCCTTCGGTTCCCTCGAAGTGTTGTTTGCTAACTGCAACCCATGTCTCTCTTGCTAAATTTCACAGCAGACCAACTTGTACACCTCCTCAGATTGAATGCATCCAGATTAAATGAATAATCGATGACACCTCCCCAGCAATCACGGCAGACTATATTTTGTAGTGACACGTATCCCGAAGGAGTACGGCCACCAGCGTGGGTCCAGTCTTAGCGAGCCGCAGGGCACGCGCTAACTGTCGCCGTGGCGAGAACACGATACTGCTCAAAGTCGCGACACTTTATTGTGGCAACACCAAACGCAGTACAGCCCGTTGCAAAGGCGCGGCGGGAGAGCAAATATGCTTATCCACGCCACGGGCATAAAAGTATTACACAGGGTGCCACGAGCACGTCTCCGCAATAAAGGTGATCCACGGAGACACCGGGACCAAGGCCCGGTTGCTCGAGCGAGGGCAAAGGCGCTTGCGTTGGCTTCGGAGGGAGATGGGTCGGCGTAGCTAGGCCACGCACTAGGACACCGTACCACCCTTCGGCCTAGCGTTCGGAAGGGGGGGGGGGCGACATAAGGTAAGCGTTCGCCGCAGGCGCAAGGCGGTGTTGGCGAAGTCCGAACGAGCCCCACAGGGAGCTGACGGACGGAAAAGAAAAGCGTGCTTACCCTATGTCGTCGACGGAGAGGTCTCTCCCGCTTTTGACGCAGCGCGCAAAAACCTCTCGGGAGACTCTGCGCGCGGCGCCATAGTCAACATCCGCTACCGGGTGAGGGGGTTAAACGTCACTCCACTCCCCCAGCGCGGCAGGCAGCGGAGGAGGGGAGACATGTCCGGACATGAGAACGGAAAAAGAGGCGGCAAAGCCCGCGCAAAGGCAGCGAGCCGGCCTCAATTCTCACAATTTAAAGCATGTTTCACATGCGAGCGACAAAGTCGCGGTGGCCGCAGTGATGAGTGGCACCAGAATGCCCAGACGCGAGCTAATTTCACATGCGCCGTTTTCGCGAGACGCGAGCTAATTTCACATGCGCCGTTTTCGCGAGGCCCGCATTTTTGCAATGTGCCGCGACGGTTTGGGAAAGTCCCCGTCTAGCTCGTTTCCTTGAAGTTCGCTTGTTGCACCAGCCTTATTTTTCGATGCTCAATTTTTAAACCTTGAATTATGAAAATATACAGCTCATTAAAGTGTGATCAAACAACTTCAGTAGTCGCATTTATTTATGTCCATCTTTTTACCACGCAAGCCTTGTTGCACGCTCATAGATGTTGCCAGGTAAAATAAAATAAAGAGTCAGCTTCTGTGGTTCGCTAGGGCAGTGGTTCTCAAATGGAAGTCCGCGGAACCCAGGGGGTCCGTGAAGCCATTTCTATGATCCACGAAACCCTCACCCGCTTTTTTTTGTTTGTGACACATAGCGATGAACTGTCCAAAATGAAGTGATGAGGCCCGTTTGTTTGATGTTTCTCCTAGCAATAAAAGGCACGTGTTTCACGCTCCAGTAGTGTTAATTTACCTTAGTATACTATGGCCCCCCTCCCTCCCCTCCACTGAAAGGGGTCCGCCATTACTTCCACCAGTCCACAAAGGGTCCCTGACACATCCATAGCTGAGAACCCCTGCACTAGGGTGCTGGTGCCTTTTGTTCTCAAAGACCGTAAAGCGGCGGTGCACTGTCCGGACAGGTAAACCAGTCAACGATATTGTGGGTTGGCGAAGGAGCTAGTCTCTCGTTTTGCATGCATTCCAGTAAAGAGGCAGTGGCATTTACTGTCACGTCACCATTCAAAGGAAGAAAACTGCAAAGGCACTATATGTCAAAGAAGTAAACAAGAAAAAATAGCAACATGTGCGAAGTGCCGTAGTGTCCAGTAGTGTTAATTTACCTTAGTATACTATGGCCCCCCTCCCTCCCCTCCACTGAAAGGGGTCCGCCATTACTTCCACCAGTCCACAAAGGGTCCCTGTGTAGGTGTAACCTGTGTAGGTGCCGCCACGATTCAACAAGAAGGCAAAAGAACGAAATTACAGGTGCAAGCAACTTGACTGCTTCGATAGAAGCGCCGACGAGAGCCACGATAAGCACGAAACAGCTCGCTGCAGCAGATGTCACCTGCTACGAAAGCAAGTTCTTCCTGGCGCGAGTGCGCCCCCTTCTGGGATCCACACCTGCAGTCATGTGCTCCCCAGGTCACTGTTCCCCATTGGTTGTTCTGGAGCAGACGCTCTGCCGCAAGAAAATTTTTCCAACTCTAGCGATGTTGATCACCCCGTCTAGAAAACGCTCCAGAAACCTGTCTTGGTTTCGTGGGATGGCTGCCACTCTGCTCTTGGGGTGAAATTGCTCGCATGTGAAACAGGCCTTAGAGGGCAGCTCTTAGGCACCTGTTCCTGCGCAGAATGGGTTACGCTGACATATCATAATGGATCCTAGAGCCCACTTGTATATATAAGGCATATATAGTCGGCTTGTGTGAATAGTAAATTTTTGGTTTCGAAGTGAATTCAAAGCAAATAGTGATTTAGTCTAATAATTTCGAATCAAATTTGAATGACATGCATCTCATATACAGAAAAATTAGCACTTGTCATGGCTCAACTAATCGGCACAACATTTTTTTAAACTAAAACAAAACATGTGCAAATGTAATTCTTTTTTTTTTTTTTTCAAAGGAAGTGGAAGCATAGTACCGGGATTTGACTTTCAGTGTATATTGTTACGGGAAGGAGACTGACTCAGAGGGGTAGTCATCTATGTATTTACAGCCGGTTAGGCGAGCAGCGCCAGCCACACAGATTAGCTCGTGCCAGTCTATCTGCTCTGTCTTCTTCAGCTACATGCACTGGCACGTAGCATGACACCCGGCGGCGGAGGCACCGTCCCGGTGCTTTAAAGGTCGTTATCTGACGCTTGATCCGCGAGACGTGTACGATATCACCGGGCCGCATAGTAGATGATGATGAACAGATGGGGCTGATCTCGTAGGTGACAGGTGTTACTTGACGCAATATACGGTAGGGTCCCGTGTAATAAGACAGAAGTTTTTCGGATAGGCCCAGCTGACGATGAGGGTACCAGAGTAAAACGAGGGTACCGGGAGCGAAATGTACGTCTCTATGTTCCGCATCGTATCGACGGCATTGGCTGGTTTGCGACGCCATCAGCCGAGCGCGAGCGAGCTGACGGGCATGATCTGCTAGCGCAATCCCGTCACGGGCATACTCGCTGGTGGACGAGGTGCGAGCTGAGATGACTGTGTCCAGTGGTAAAGTCGCCTCTCTTCCGTACAATAAGTAGAACGGCGAAAAGCCCGCTGTGTCGTGACGGGATGAATTATACGCGAAAGTTGCGTAGGGTAAGGCAAGGTCCCAGTCTCGGTGGTCGGGCGACACGTACATAGCAAGCATATTTGTTAAAGTGCGGTTAAATCGTTCCGTGAGGCCGTTTGTTTGAGGGTGGTAAGCGGTTGTCAGTGTGTGTTGCGTGGAACAAGAACGCAGAATGTCGGCGATGACTTGGGATAGAAATATACGGCCACGGTCTGTGAGGAGCTGTCTCGGAGCACCGTGAATACCGTAACAAGAAGTCAGCGACGTCGGTTGCACAGCTGGTTGGTAGAGCTCGCGTAATAGCATAGCGTGTAGCGTAGTCTGTAATAACGGCTATCCATTTGTTTCCCAATGTTGATGTGGGAAAAAGATCAAGCAGGTCTAACCCAACACAATAAAATGGTTCCGCGGGTATGTCAATTGGTTGAAGATGGCCAGCGGGTAGCAGCGACGGTGTTTTACGACGTTGGCATAGGTCACACGTGGCAACGTATCGGCGTACCGAACGAGCAAGGCCTGGCCAGAAAAAAACGGCGCCGGACGCGCTCGTACGTGCGGGATACGCCAAGGTGTCCAGCCGTAGGAGCGTCGTGAAGTTCGGTGAGAACACAGCGGTGCAAATGCTTAGGCAAAACAATGAGAAAGTCGGGCCCGTCTAGTCGGATATTGCAACGGTATAGCACCCCCTTTTGAATGACAAAGTAGCGGACGGAAGCATCATTTGTGGAGGATTCCATACGGCTGATGATGTCAAGCAGCTCTGGATCACGCTTCTGTTCTTCCCCAATATTAAGGAAGTCGGACACTGACAAGATAGAGTTCTGCGTGGGCTCGTCAGTGTCCTCAGGATCGTCGACAGGGTACCGGGAGAGGCAATCGGCATCACGGTGTAGGTGGCCAGATTTGTAGACCACCGAATAGGAAAACTCTTGCAGGCGCAAAGCCCAGCGACCAAGGCGGCCTGATGGATCTTTTAGAGTTGAGCCAGCAGAGTGCATGGTGGTCGGTAACTACCGAAAATGGGCGTCCATACAAATAAGGTCGAAATTTCGCCACCGCCCATACAAGAGCCAAGCACTCACACTCTGTTATCGAATAGTTACGTTCAGGGGCGGATAGGAGGCGGCTGGCATATGCAATAACGCAATCATGGCCATGTTGTTTCTGAGCCAGCACTGCACCGATGCCATGCCCACTTGCATCTGTACGGATTTCCATAGGGGCAGCAGGGTTGAAGTGTGCCAGAATCAGAGGGGTAGTGAGAAGAGCGACGAGAGTCGAGAACGCAGAAGCCTCTTCGGAGCCCCATGAAAACGGGACTTCTTTCTTGAGGAGCTGCATAAGCGGCCTCGCTATGTGCGCAAAATTTTTCACGAAGCGTCGGAAGTAGGAGCATAGTCCGATAAAGCTGCGTACATCCTTCGCAGATCGGGGTACAGGAAAGTTTTTGACGGCGCTGATTTTTGCCGGGTCTGGTTGTACACCGTTGGCGTCTACTAAATGGCCAAGCAGTGTGATTTGATGGCGTCCAAAGTGACAGTTGGACGAGTTGAGCTGCAGGCCAGCGCGACGGAAGATTCCCAGGATAGCTGAGAGGCGCTCTATATGAGTTTCAAATGTTGGTGAAAAGACGATGACGTCGTCCAAGTAGCACAACCAGGTGGACCATTTGAATCCTCTGAGCAGGGAGTCCATCATTCGTTTGAAGGTGGCTGGAGCGTTACAAAGGCCGAAGGGCATGACCTTGAACTGATATTGGCCATCGGGGGTGATGAATGCCGTCTTTTCACGGTCCATTTCATCTACCTATATCTGCCAGTAGCCGGAACGAAGGTCTATGGAGGAAAAATAGTGGGACCCATAGAGGCAATCAAGCGCATCATCTATTAGTGGCAGAGGGTAGACGTCTTTTTTAGGTAATTTGGTTTAGGTGTCGATAATCCACACAGAAACGCCATGCACCGTCTTTCTTGCGGACTAGCACTACAGGAGAAGCCCAAGGACTGCAGGATGGCTCAATGATGTCCTTGGCGAGCATTTTGTCGACCTCGCTTTGGATGATGTGACGTTCGGCCGCCGACACCCGATATGGACGCCTATGAATAGGATGCTCATTACCAGTGTTTCTGCGGTGGCTCATACCGGTAGCTTTTCCCAACGGACGGCCGCTGATGTCAAAAACGTCGATGTAGGACAGCAGAACCCGGTGGAGCTCATCAGTCTGCTGCGGCGTTAAGTTGGAAGCGATTATCGAAGTAATAGCGCTGTCGGAGCAAGTGGCAGATTGATGTTGAGCGTGGGGTCAGAAGGAGCGGCCATCGCGAAAACATCCACCGCATTGTCTTCTAAGGTGCAGAGCAACGCCAAAGAGATCCCTTGTGGCAGAACTTGAGGTGTCAAGCTAAAGTTGACAACTGGGAGGCACGTAGAATTTCCTGCGACGAACAGAATGGTGTGCGGTAATGTAATGCCACGGCTTATGAGAACATCGGTGATAGGGGTCAGAACATAGTCACCGTCGGGAACTGGTGGTATTTAGACGAGCTCTATGTAGGTCAGTGTCTGTGGAGGGAGGCGCGCGTGTCCCGTTGTGCAGAGGCGACTCGGCCGTTGTGTAAGAGGTTCTGTTGCGGGCAAGTGTAGGCGGAGCGTACTGGTCGAACAGTCTATGAGGGCAGAATGCGCGGACAGGAAGTCGAGGCCTAAGATTACGTCATGGGGACATTTATCAAGGACCGTGAAGAGAACATCTGTGTGTCGATCCGCAATGCTCACACGAGCGGAGCACATTCCAGCGATAGATGCTATTCCACCATCCGCAACACGGACGAACTGAGTGGTCGCAGGTGTGAGAACCTTCTTGAGCTTGCGGTGAAAATCACTCGTTATCACGGAGAGTTGGGCGCCGGTGTCGAGAAGAGCAGTGACATGTACGGCGTCTACTTGTACGTCTATGAGGTTCCGTTTTGTCGGTATCGTCAAAAGAGGATTTTCGGTCAGTCCGAGCGATGCAGCGCCACCTCCGGGGATGGAGAGCGGGAGTAGCGGTGTTCAGAAGCAGGTTCCTGGGCAAAATGATCGCGGCTGGTCTCATGACGATAGGCAGGACGTGCATAGAAGGGACGAGAGGACGGTTGTGCAGGAGGACCCCAGCGACTTCTGCAGTGGCGAGAAATGTGCCCGATTCTGTGACACGAGAAGCATATCAGCTTGTCATCGTGTGTTCGCCATGCGGACGGATTACGGAACGTTGAGGGAGAGCCGGTCGGAAAGGGACGTGCAGGCGTGTATCGGGGCTGGTAGTCGGTGCGGGAAGGCGGTGAGATAGTGAATTCCCAAGCTGGCGATTTTCTGCCGGATGACTGCTTGAATGAGAGGCAACGTAATTGGCGGAGACGGGTCAGGGGACGTTGGTCCCACCTTAGCTAGAGCAGCCGCTTCAAGCTCCCGCCTGACGATTCGCGTCAAGCTGTCACAGGTGTCTGGTGGATAATATGTTTCGAGACACGAGGACGTCGCAGTGGTGTTCGGGAGGCGCTGGAACTGATGAGAGATGCGTCTGCTTTTAGCTTGTTAGCACCGGCGGCATTCTTGAATGATCGCATCAACAGATGATCTATTGTTGAATACCAACAAGTTGAACGCATCGTCGGCGATACCCTTTAGGATATGCGCAACTTTTTCACGTTCAGACATATTTTCGTCAGCTTGGCGGCATAGTGAAGGGACAGCCTGAATATAATCGATGTAGGGCTCCGTGGAAGAGTGTGCGTGAGTCGACAACTCATTTTTCGCAGCTTCACGACGACCAGAGATGTTGCCAAAAAGGTCATGAATCTTTGCCTTGAAGCTGTCCCAGTTTGTTATGTCATGCTTGTGGTTATCATACCAAACACGAGGGGTTCCGTCGAGATAAAAGATGACGTTTGCAAGCATAAGAGTGGAATCCAACCAGTAAGTGGCGCTGACGCGTTCGTAGAGGCGTAGCCACTGGTCGACGTCGGAACCCTCGCTGCCCGAGAACACACCGGGGTCTTTGAGTGCGGGAAGCGTCACGAAAGTTGTTGCGGGCGCTGGGTTGACAAGTCGGGTAGAAGGGGGAGCGACCGGAGAGGATGTAGCCGAGTCTTGAGTGGTCATATTGTAAGCCGCGAGGGAGCGTCCGCTTCGGAGTTCCGTGGCGAGGACGGGGATCGCACAACTCCACCAAATATGTTACGGGAAGGAAACTGACTCAGAAGGGTAGTCACCTATGTATTTACAGCCGGTTAGGCGAGCAGCGCCAGCCACACAGATTAGCTCGTGCCAGTCTATCTGCTTTGTCTTCTTCAGCTCCATGCACTGGGACGTAGCAATATATTGCAGGTGATAATCTGTAAAATGTTATGTTTCAAAATTTACTGAGAAGATATATGCCCATATAACGAGCTTTTACACTTTAAAAATGGTGAATCAATGTGATTGATCTGATTGATATGTGGGGTTTAACATCCCAAAACCACCATATGATCATGAGAGACACCGTAGTGGAGGGCTCCAGAAATTTCGACCACCTGGGGTTCTTTAACGTGCACCCAAATCTGAGCACACGGGCCTACAACATTTCCGCCTCCATCGGAAATACAGCCGCGGCAGCCGGGATTCGAACCCGCGACCTGCGGGTCAGCAGCCGAGTACCTTAGCCACTAAACCACCGCGGCGGGGCGTGAATCAAGGTGAGGGTAAATGTTCATTCAACCATGAAGTGGGGCTTTGCGGCAGTGAAGATTTTCCCTGGATATGTGTACTCTTGGTAAGGTACCCCTCCACTGCAGTGAAACCACCTTTACAAGAGGTTACATGCGGTTTTATGCGTATTTGCTCACTTCGAATTATTTAAAGGTGAGTTGAAGCGAATTCAACAACTGTAATATTCACTCAAATATTTACACAAACATAATATTTAGTAACATGCCAACTCATGCTGCCTTCAATACCGCTTCATTAACGAAGAATCCCACATCTTTCTATGGAACACCGATCACAGAATGAAGACAACCCACCTGAGAGCTTCGACAGTCAGTCCGTCCTTGCCGGACAAGTCCAGAGAGACGAGGTGCGGGAAACTCTGGGGGTCCCGCAGTAGCCACGAGACGTCATGCCGCAGCGGGTGCAGCAGGTCAAGCGGGTGGTCCCGGTCGTCTGAAACGTCCAGGTGCTGCAGCCGCTGCAGTTGGCACAGTACCGCCTCCTCACCACCACAGCTCTTCAGGTTGTACATGCTAAGTGACCGCAGGCGGTCACGGCAGCGAAGAAGTGGAGAGATGTCCCTGTCGACAAAAAAAGACTAGATTTACAATGAATCTGTTAAGGTTTTCATTATACCAGTTCAGGTCACCAGAATTATTATCAGGAGCGGGTAATTCAAGTGGAACTCTCAATAGGTCTAGGGGAGCCAGGCTCAGGAAGATACTATTATGACCAAGTACATACTAATTAAGTATATTTAATGCCAATTTACACTAGATAGGTAGTGTGGGATCAAACGATGCCCACCCCATTAACTTAAGTCTTACGTGGCCTAACTATACTAACTATTCCTAACTAACCCGTACTGAGCCAAACTAAGTATAACCAAATCTAATCAAACATAGCTGAGCATGGTATCATCACAAGCAGAGCATCATTAAGTCTAATTATGTCAAACAATAAAGCCAAATTAATCCAAGCAATCAAAGTAAACTTCTCACTAGGTCAGTGATGCCAAGCTTGCATAGATACCACATTTACTCGTGTGTAATGCAAGTTTTTTCAAGGTTTCGGTACCTGAAGTCAAGCCCCGCATTACAATCAAATGCCAAAACTCAGGTTTTAAAAAAAAATGCAATGATGCATACAATTCCCTCTTCTTTTTTAACTTTCTCCTTCCCGAAAAGTCTCCCCTTGAGTTACACTCATGGTCATATTACAGTCGAGTAAATATGGTAGTATTGACTGAGTCAATCCGAAATAAGTAAATTAAGCCATTGGTCTTATTGACACTCATCCTAGTTTGCCCATACATGCCCTAACCTGTAAAAATAGAGAAAACAAATATCTTTTTGCACAAATAGGGCACTTCTTCAACATCCTCAGCAGTGTGTGCGAAATGTTTACTTGCTGTCAGGTAAGTGAAACAATGATTTCCAGGCCGTCTTAGGCATAAGACACAATGTATAAAAGCTATGTGCAGGTGCGGTAAACATTAAAGCATTTCACATGCACACCGTGAAAATTTTTTCAACAAGTTTTGTATCCTCTCGGCAGTGAAAGCACCTTGTCTATTTGAAACGAGGGGCGAGATAATCGCCTGTGGGGTCAAGAGCACAATGTGCCTCAATGGCGGACTGGCGGGACTTTCCGTGGGATCACTTGCACCCCTATTTCTTGAGGAACGCAAGTCCAGCTGATCTCTATAACGAAACGTGCTCAACGATGCCATTCATTTTCTCATACAGCTGCACAGTGTTTTTAAAGATGCAACGAGAAGGTAGGCAAACCAAAAAGATCACTTGTTTCATTTCATGGCTTGTTTTTTAACCGCATAAAAATTCTCTGCTGCACAAGAAGTGCAATGACGACACGATCAAATAAAGTCTTGAATGCTTTTGCTGCAGTTAAGAAAACCTTTCACAACATTCACCACCAACCACCTTACTCTGGGGTAATCTTGTCTTCCCAGCCCGACCTTGTCCGTTGGGTGCTTGATTTATAAGCTTTTCGGCTGACTGACTATTATCGTTGTCTTTACTGCACGAAGACCACTTTAGGGACCTTCTGTTTCCGCTCGAAATACTCTTCCAGACAAACGAGCACCATTAATCCTATTTTTTCACAACCACTTTACGAGTCGGTCACTACAGCCGCAAAAGTTCATTTACATCAACCCCCTCCAACATTTTATACGTCCAGTGTCCTAATTAAAGAATGACTTGGTTTACTGAATTGTAACATATTGTGATGAAGGTGAGATGTAGGCTTAATAGACATTTACACCGGTGAATTGGTAGCTAAAATAACACGGCTGATGAGCCCCATGCACAAGCACTTCACATTTACTTGTCGTCGTCATCTTCGGAGAGCATCGCATTAGTTCATGCTTGTGATGCACCCTAACGTCACCCTCCCATGACTGCCACCGTGCCTTTCAAGGCAACGAAGAGCTAACAGAGCGGTATGACCTCCTGACATTCAAACAACACAACTGTCACTGGTTAATTTGTCACCTCCTGTGAGCTGGTAAAAAAGTATTGCAATAACTTAAAAACAAAGGAGCCATAACTCTTTTTTTTTTTTTTGCTCTATGGCATATGTCATACAGTGCGGGAATTCACCAGGATGAACCAATCCTTACACAGCAATGTTAAGTTAGCCCATGCTTAGGCACACACCTACTTGATTCACTGTAGGTGGCACTAGCTTTCAGCTGAAAAAGTAGTGACTTAAAGCACATCAACCAACCATTTTACATGTAGGAAGCTGGACACGTATCAGTTAAGGCTGATTAGGTTGTGTGTGATCCAACTAAGCCGACCTGAGATGAAAGCTCCATGTGGCTTAACTGTGTGATTAAGCCTAATTAGGCTAAGCCTAATAAATCCTAATGGAGATTGAGCCAAGCTGGGGCTAGCTAAGAGAACACCACATACAATGAGACTCACTCTTGCAGGTTTAGTGCAAGCTACCCCCATTTCCTCAATGCATGAAATTGCATGGCAAGTCAATCAATAAATATTGTGAAGACTGGACTCCACTTAAATGGCTGATCCTCCAACAATCAACTAAGATGACATCAAAGCAAACGTCTATACAAATTCACAATGGCAAATAAGTTTTGTCAAAGCTTGCAGATGGACAAACCTTTGAGAAGAAAAAACTGCTGTACTTAATGAGAAGTTGTGTTGCCATTCATATATGGTAACGAATATACCATATTTACTCATTTATACACACAAGGCATGACTTTTCATTGCATATTAGAAGAAAAATCAAAACTAAAATACAAGGACTGTGAGCATCACACTTTTAGGCAACTTTAATTTCGGCATTCGATTTTAATGCAACATTCAACTTCAAGTATCAAAAATATGAGAGGAAAAAACATGTTACATTAGAGTAAATACAGTACAAATACATAAAGTTTTCAAATATGGTAAAGCATAATTTAAGTCAGATGCAATTTTGTTCTAATGAGATTATATATATATATATATAAGCAGCGAACATCAAGCGGGCAAACGAAGCCGCATCGTGGTGCACTCGACGCAATAAATATATATATATATATTATTGTCACAGTACAACGCGAAGATAACACAGGTACACCTTGAGACAGCGAAAGCAGCATGTTCTCAATAGCTCGGCCGCAAAATCGTCTTCTTCGTTCTCGAGTAAAACCAGAGGCCCACTACCTGGTGTCCACTAAATCCGCCATCATCGTTTTCGTCCGCATGTAGACACGCAGCATTTACCTCCCTCTCAAAGAGCATCACCTCAATTCAAAGTCATAAATGCAGTTTTTTTTTTTTTTTTAAGAAAAATCTCACGCAATTACTCGCTGACGTAAGGCTCCATGCGCACTACATGAATGACTTCAGGATGGTGCTGGCGACATTTCGTACTATACGAACTGTTGGGAACGACTTCGTAAATGGCATCACTCAGTTGTCGCAGCACTGAGTACGGTCCAAAGTATCTTCTTAAGAGCTTTTCAGAAAGTCCTCGTTTCCGTAGGGGCATCGAAATCCATACTTTGTCGCCAATTTGGTAGACGACTGTTTTGCGGTGAGCATTGTAGCGGCCTGCATCGTACTCTTGCTGCTGGCAGATCCGTAAACGTACAAGTTGCCTAGCTTCTTTCGCCCGTTCAGTAAACGTGTCAGCATGCGAGTCGATGTCGTCGCCTTCGTTCAGTAACATCGCATCTTACATGATTTGTACTTCCCGTCCATGAATGAGGCTGAACGGGGTCATGCGGGTTGTTTCTTGCTTGGCCGTGTTGTACGCAAGCGTTATGTAAGGCAAGATTTCATCCCAATTTCTATGTTCAACGTCTGTGTACATTGAAAGCATGCCTTCAATGGTTTTGTTTAGACGCTCTGTCAGCCCGTTCCTTTGCTGATGGTAGGCGGTAGTCTTGGGAAGCGTTACTCCGCTCAGCATCAAGACCTGGTCCAAAAGAGCTGCTGTAAATGCGGTTCCTCTGTCTGTGATCACGACGGTTGGTGCACTATGCCTCAGTAAAACATTCTCGAAAAATCTTGCCACTTCCACTGCTGTACCGCTCCGAATAGCCTTTGTCTCGGCATACAGGTCAGATAATCAGTCGCTACGATAACCCAGCGATTTCCTGCAGTAGAAGTAGGAAATGGGCCCAAAATGCCCATGCCAATGTGGTCGAATGAAGTCACTGGGGCCTGCATGGGTTGAAGAAGGCCAGCTGGTTTAGTCGGTGGTGACTTGCGTCACTGGCAGTCGAGACAGGTACGAACATGGTGCTTCACGGCTTTGGTTAGTCTTGGCCAGTAATACCTTTTCTGTACTCTGGCTAACGTTCCCGCGTAACCCAAGTGGCCAGAGGTCACCTCGTTGTGGCATGCTCTGAGTACTTTGGTGCAAAGAGCTGCTGGGACGACGAGCAGATAGGCGGATACCGCTGACGAAAAGTTTCTCTTGTAGAGTACTCCGCCCCCTAAACAAAACGATGGCAACACTCCTGCGAAAATTGGCACCTTCTGAGACCTGCCATCGAAGTACTTAATTAAGCCAAGCAACTCAGCGTTGTCACGTTGCTGCGCAGGGGCGGTCGTGTCGAGGACACCAAGAAATGCTGTTTTCTCTCCTCGGGTAGGGTTGCCGACTCAATGGGTGAACGGCACAGACAGTCAGCGTCCATATGCCGCTTCCCTGACTTCCGTACGATTGCCATATCAAACTCCTGCAGCCTGAAACTCTAACCCGCTGATCGGCTGGTAGGCTCTTTAAGATTTGTCAACCAACACAGTGAGTGAGTGGTGGTCGCTAATTACTTGGAAAGGGCGGCCATATAAATACAGGTGAAATCCTGTAACCGACTAAACCACGGCGGGACGTTTCTTCTCAGTCGTGGAGTAATCAGCCTCAGCGCGTGTTAGCGTTCTGCTTGCATAAGCGATTACCCTTTCTGTGCCCTCTTGCTGCTGCACAAGCACTGCTCCCAGACCAACATTGCTAGCACCAGTGTGAAGCATCGTAGCGGCTCTCTCATCGAAGTGGGTAAGGACAGGAGGTGTTTGTAGTCACTGGAAAAGAT